TTGTGATATTACTCAGTGACTGGGTATGAACAGACCATAGGAGTGGTCTGATGCAATCTCAGCCACATCTCGTAAAATAAACCAAACACAGTGACCTTGATATCCAGGTGCAGGAGTTTGTAAAGAATGAAGATTGACAGAAATGTAATGAAGGGTTTGGGAATGTTGAGTGCTTTTCTCAATGACATTGGACTGCACTTCAGCAGGTAGTTGTTTTTTTTAACTGCTCACTTAGACTTTACACTATTCACTATGTCAAAATCTCCCCAAAAATAGCAAATTAGAATGAAAAGAAATAGTTTTAGTGATTTTTTTTATTGCTTGGCTCATCCAGTACTCATAAATACGTATCAAACATTATTTTTATTACTGGTATAGGCTAAAAGTTTGTGTAGTCACATAACTTCCCAGGTAGTAAAACAAATTCTAGCGCGTACACACACAGGCAGATTGTGTAGCATTTGTCCCAGACAAGTATTTACGACCCATCCATTTTTCAACTGCCTCAGTCCCTACTTCATGAAACCAAGATTGCTTCTTTATAGCGCCATTCTTACTCCTCAATCCCCACAACTCTCAGCTGCAAACACTTTGATGGGATCCCAAATGGAAAAAAAAAATGGGAAAAAAAAATAAAACAATTGTGACAATGTGGCAATGTCTGGAGCAGAAAAGTAAAAGTGTCTCACTCTAGATCTGCCTCATTTTAGGTTTTATAATGACATCAAAAATAACTGAATTCAAGGTTTGCTGTCTTGGATCGTACCCCAGATATCACAGACTCAAATATTCATACTCATGTTGTTTTTTTAATGGTTTGTTATTACATCTAATGTAAAAGTTTTTAATTTTTCAGGAACTGAAATTTACTGTCTTTATTTTGCTTTCTTTAATAATCTCCCAAAAATATAATTATGTTATTGAGAAAAAAATCCAATATACTACTAGTTAGTAATGAAAGTTTAAGATACACAATTCAACAGTAAAAAGTGATAAAATAACATGTTTGCCCCTATTAAACATAAAAATGATCTAAAGTATTCTATAGAAAATATTCTATATAAAAAAACAATATTTATCAGATTTGGTCTCTGCAGTACCAATCTCTCTCAGGAAACTTCAAAGACAGTGTGATATGTTTTGTTATTTATTTGTTTTTTTAGTTCCTTCTACAAAAGCACCATCGACAAGCTAAAAAAGGTGTCTGAAATTGTAGCAAATGTAACCTTTTTATTCACTACTTGTGATCCTGCTCATCAATTTAGCCAATCTCCCTAAATTAAACATTTTATTTTGCAGTTTCATTGCCTTTATCTCTCTCACAATAACTTTTATTTTTCTTTCTTTTAAATAAAGCCTGGATCAATGCTTTCCTGTAGCTGTCTTTAACAAAGCATTGCCCTCCTGTGATCATTCATCACTAAGACCAATTTTTTGAGACCAGTTCAACTGAAGAGTGCAACACATGAATATTTTATCAAATAAAATAAGTTCTCTGGATGAGAGCCAACGGTATATTTTTTAACCCCGGTCCTCTGAACTCACTTCTGCTCGTTTAAGATTTGTCTCTGTTCTAACATCATGACTCTAAATCAATAAATTACTCCAACAGTTTGTCAACAATCTAAAAATAATAAGCTGGTGTGTCGTTTTTATCATGTGTGTTGAAGCTGGGACACAGGGTTTTAAGCACTGAGAAACTCAACCCAGCAGCTCACTGTTTACTATCATATGAAGTCTGTGCAGGGGATGGGTGGAGTCCTTCAGGATGAAGGCAGCTCTCCTTTGGACTCTGCTGTAGTTGATGCTCTGCAGAGAGGAAAGTGAAGTCCTGGTGATCTCAGCAGTCTTCACTACTCCCTGCAGGCGTCTATGGTCTGTATCAGTGGAGCTGCCCCACCATATGGTGATGCAGCTGGTCAAGATCCTCTTAAGGCTGCAGCTGTAGGAGCTGCAGAGAATCTTGTCCAATGGACAAACTGTAGATACGCTTGGTGTGATTTGCTTTAATTTGGAGCCAGTTTTGGGACTAATTTGCTCAGAATCTTAATGTTACCACAGTCCACATTGATAAGATGTTCTTCTGGGTTGTTTTTGTTTTAACTACTTTACAGCCTCATGAGTGTTTCTACATGTTTTTGTGTGGTGACAGCTGGAATCAAGTAATTAGATGTTTTGCAAAAATGTTCTGAAATGTTTACTCCTAACATCTATTAGTGTAACTTATATTTATTCAAACTCCATCGCTCATTACTGCAGCTAATAATGAGCAATTTGTCGTTTTATACCAATATATTTGAAAGGTTTAATGTTAAAAAGGCTTTAGAAACACTGTATATTACTACAAAGCTTTGAGGTTAAACCTAAAAATGTTTATTTTTGTCTATTTTAATGAAAAAATTAATGTTTTGTTCATGCTTGTACTTTCAATGGATGAATGGATGGATGGATGGAGTCTTTTGACACTGATGATGAGGACTGGACTGGACTCCAGCAGCTCTTATAAGCCAGCAAGACTTGATACAATATGTACAAGTTTATGTTCAAAAGGCACATACATCATGTCTGAGTGGATTCTGTCTGAAATATTTTGAAGATCAGCTGATTTTCATACTTTCAGTGTGAATTATTTTTCATGATTCCACTTTCTTGATAACAAAGCTTATATACACGTGTCTCCTATAGACATATTGTCTCAAAGATTTGTGCCGTGACGAGATGTTCTACTTCAGTGTAATTTTTCAGAATTTAATTACAATTTAATACTGAGCCCACAGTGCAGAGCAGATATCGGTTGCAGGAAAGCAGGGCATCCTTGTTCCATAATGAGATTGTGACTGATTTAAGTAGGAGATAATTATGGATTAAATGTGTAATCCTCATTCTTCAAAGGCAAAGAAAGATATTTTGACAGATATTTTTTTGGTGAAATCAAGCTTTAGAACTCAGCAGGTAATGAGGTGATGAGGCGACGCTGATGCACCTTTAGGACACGTGTTGATTCAGATTAGGAGGTGAGACTCTTCCTTCCTGTCGAACTCAAGCTCCTCACAGCTACTTTCTGCAACATGACACGCAAAAACACATTACAGCACAATGCACACTCATGCAGAAAATGTTTTATTCAGCCTGCATCAAGCTCAGGAAGTTCAGGATAAAGCTTATTCCAATTTCTTAATTACTCCAACTCATCGAAACTCTCAATTCATCCACTCGCACTGTAGAGCTAATTTACCTGAAAAAAAACACGCCCAACTCTATCTTCATTTAACTGTTCCTAATACATTTTGAATTAATGGTAATATCAGTAAACGATGAGCTGAAATGAAACCCAGTACTGTTTGCTGGAGTTGCTAATGGTTTGTTGATAACTTTGAGCACAATGCAGGGTTGAGATAACTTGAGGAAATGATGGTAAGCAGCTGGTGTGAGGAGAGGGATGAGGTAAAACTGTAAGTGGATGATGTGAACACGGACTGAATTGACAGGTCTGGTTGCTTCACTGATATATTCAGTCAGAAAACTGTGTCAAGAAAGGCATTTTCACCCTCTCAAAAATTAATAATATCTTGGCATCACCTAATTACAGCTTACGCATCTTGCAGTGCTAAAAATCAGAATAAAAGCTTCAATAAAAAAAGTGTTTTACTCATTTTAAACTTCAAAATCTTCAACCTAAAAATTGCTTTAATTCAATAAATGGTAGTGTCAGCACTGGGAGATAAAAATAGAAACCTTGAATTATACACTATATCAGTGCCTGGAAAACACATAACACCGTCCCTTTACAATTAAAGTATTTCAAATGAATAAATTATTTTGTTTATCTGACCTGGTGATCAACCAAAAAAATATTTGGAGGCACATATCATGCTACTGTGGACAAAACCTGAAAAGTTTGAGAACCACTCCTCTATATCATCAGTGTAAAGATTTTTTTTGCAATAAATATGATTAGTGATCAAATTCATGTCATATACTTGCAGTTTATATCCCTTTTCAACTGAAAAGGACACACAAACATGAAACGAAATCCATCTAAATGACATTTCTTGCAATGTTAAATGTTTATGTCAAGATAGAAAAAAATAATATTGGAAAATATAAGATTCTTTGTGCATTTAAAGACTATACATGAAGCTTGTTTACATTGTTGCTTTCATTTTATTCTTAAAAACATGTTTTAATGTTAGAAATATGAGCTCTGTGGACAGGATGGAACAGTAGAACATGTTTTAATGTTAGAAACCACTGTTATTTTACATACTGTGAAAAGTTGTAGGACATTGACGACCCCTTAAAACCTCTTCCCGAGCCGTCTGATAAGCTCTAATTGGACAGGTGACTGAATAAACTTGTTTGGCTTCATAAAGAAGCTGCTGTTATTTTCCTGTCAAACAAGCCAGGAGGCAGGCTTTCTGCGAACACTTCTCATAGTGATGACATTAAGTAAAAGATGAAACGTCTGGCTAACAAATAAGGCATTTCAGACAGATCTACAGCTGTGTAGTCTATAAAAATAATCCCCTTAGATGTGGACGGAGGGTTTTAAAAAATTGCAAACAATTTGGAAAGCATGAACTCCTAATGCAGCCATTTGGTTCTGAATGAAATATGAAACCATGAAACCATGTTGGTGACTTCTTCCTCTTTTGCATTCATTGTTCCCATGTTTGTCTGCTGAAGAAATATCTAAATCTAATGGGAAGCTTAGTTTGTTCTGACAGTTTTTGAAACATTCAGGACTTTGTGAACATGTTTTTTCTCGAGTGCCAAAATGTGTCCTTTGCACAGAAACCTTCTGATCAGGTATTGACTGTAATTTTGGAGTTAATTTATGCATCTGTTGTCCAACTTTCACAGCTGAAAAAGTGAGCCTAATTTCAAGCTGCTCATCACCTCTTTTATGTGGCATTAGAACACTTTTGATAACTTTAGTGAGCAGTTGTCAGACACATCTGTTAATTATTTATAATAGAGATTGTATTTTACAAACCTACTGGAGGGTTTAGAACAATTTCATTAAAAGCCCTAATTTGTGTAAAACTCCCATTATGGTTTTTTTTTTTGCTCGTTTAGATAATTCACTCATTAAAATTCTGCACAACTTTTACTGAAAAACTGAAAAAACTAATTTGTCTTTTTTTCTGCATTGATTTTTCACAGTTCTGCATGTAGGAAGAAACATGTCACAGATGGTGAGTTTAAACTGATTTGTTTAACATTCATCAGAAGCTTCTCTCGTCTCGTGGTGGTGGTCTGTTTATGTGAGCAAATACAAATGTGCGTGTGTGTTTGACATGTCAAAGTCGCTTTTTTTATCAGAGCGCTGTGCGGTGCATAGGGTTTTTTGCATTACTGCGGGGGGAAGGTGGATTGTTATTGTGGCTGATCGATATTTGATCTTTTTGTTTGTTGCGTGGCGACAAAATAACATGATTCTCCTAAGGGGCAGCTGGTAGCCCCCCCGAGGCAGACAGAAAAGCCTTTTAAACTGCACTTGAGCAGGAACAATAACCATGAAGTAGCTGGTTGTAGATGAAAGGTTCCAGAATGGATAAGGAAAAAAACACATATTGTTTTGCTGCTTTAGCTGGAAAATGCAGTAAATGTTACTCAGTTGAGCTGTTTTGTGAAAACTACCTCCTGACCGATGCCCTTTCCCCCCTCCAATATACTGTATCTTTAATTTATCTGGCTTTTTCCTTTATCTCAAGCACCTGTTTGGTCATTGGATGATCTCCTTTAAGCCTTTTAGAAAAAAAACACAAAATGGGTTTGTATCAACTGAATACATCATTTAAAGATTTACCTTACAGGCACTATTTTTTTATTTTCATAACTATATGGAGTTTAATAGCTCTGTATGCAGTTTGTTCCATTTCATCATAACAAAGTAACAAAAATATTCAGCAGAACAACCAAAAAGATGACATCTAAATAAAAGTATCTGGGGCCCCGCTGGTACTCAGCCCCCCGGTGGGGTGTGCAGCTGGCTGCCGGCATGCTGGGGGTTCCCGGGGTCTGGGGCTGGACGCTGGGGTGTGTGCCGGCCTGGCCTGGTGACTGCCTGCTGGGGCTCGGGACCTCTGGACCTGTCGGGCTTTGGCCTGAAGGGGGTGCGCCCTGGGGGCCCGGACCTCTGTGCCCTTTCCTGGATCTGCTTTGGTATGGCGGGTGCCGGTGGGGCCCATGAGTTTGTTGCTGCTGGCCCCAGGGGCTGTGCGTGTGGTCGCTGGGGGGACTCTCCCAGTTCTCCCCTATGGTCTGATCTGGGGGGTGGGTGGGCGGATCTTCCCGTGCGGGTGCCCCTTGGGGCTCTGCGCTCGGGATCCCTCTCGGGCCCTTGGGCTCTGGTCTTCCCTATGTCTGCCTCGTGACTTGGGGGTTGGATCTCGGTCCTCCACAGTCACTATTAAATATTCCATTGGAGAAATCTTGTATGTACACACATGTTCACAACTGCTCACAGACAGGTGTTCTGATCCGGGGGGTTCTGACTGGTCACTGAGTGTGTATATATGTCTGTGTGTATATACTGACAATATTTATGATGTAGGCATGTATTTATGTATATCTTTATATATGTATGGGTATGCGTATATTTTTATATATGCCCTCCATGTATTTATCCATTTATTTTTCAGGTGAGCGGACAGATGTTGGGTGTGTGGTCCTGTGTTTGTTGGTGTATATTTAATAAACTTCTAATCGCTATTTCAATCTTTCTATCTTTCTAATTACTTCTCTCCCTGTTTTTCTCTCTGTCTCTATTTTCTCTTCACTTAAAAAAAGTCACTGATGATGAAGAAATAAATAAACTAAATAAACTAAAAAATACATCTAAATAAAAGTGCTGCTGTCTCAGATTTGTAAAAGATGATTTGGGGATAAATAATGTATGTTTCTCCTTCTGGAGTCTTTATTGTGAGCTGTGTCGGATGATTGTTGCTCAGCGTAAACATTTGTCCACAGTCACACTTTCCTTGATTGATTTTCTGGCACAGCCTTTTCCTGGACAAAAACAGAAGAGGTCATAATGTAGTATTGTCAAACATGATGTCCCTGCATAGCTCTTAACTACGGCCAGTCTTTTACAAAAGCTGTTAACAAAAAAGCATCCAGTATTTCTTAAACTCTTCTGCTGAAAGTGTACGGCCAACCAGTCCTCAATTCAATTTTGTCTCCTAAAAATATATGAGAAACACAAGGGCAATGACCTTTTGTTTCATCTACTGATATGTTTTACTTATTTCAGCTTTGACCCAGATCCTTGGATGTCACCAGAAGACAATTCACAAGTGTTTGATGGGCACAGGAGCTGTCACTTTGATTAATGGAGCAATAACATTTACTGCTCCCTTCCAGTTTATTTTCCCTTAAATGTTTCCTGCTGAACTCTCTCCAAATATACGTTTTGCTTTACGACTTCTCTGCACTGGATCGGGGTGATTTGAGCACAACTGGACAGGAAACACACTTCCCATCTCCTCCATCTGTTTTTCTTTTACGACTTTCCCGGCGAGTTAACGATTCGTAAGATGAAGTGAGAAATGGACTCTGTGTTGCCTTCATGTCAACAAGTGTGCCAAAATATACCAACAAGACATTTTTTAAACTTTTTGCTTTAATGATAACAACGTAAGAAAGGATCACAGTTTTCAGAGGTGAAAAACAAAATAAGACTTTAATAAAATCGCTTTAAACAGAATTGAATGAGAAAACTATTGAAGTTTGTTTTTGATTGCATGAAAGATCTTTTCTTGTCGTGAGGTTTTTAAACTTCTTTGCCCTTTCCTTTTTTTCCAGATATTTGATGAATTTGCTTTTCTTTGGTTTACTTTTCCAGAGATTTTGAAGTAAATTTAGTATCATGATGGGGCCAGATTCATCTTGTTCATTTCAGGGCCATCTCTGCAATATTTGGCTCATGAATTTATTTAGAGTTAAGTCTTTTCTTTTYTTTTTTTTTTTTTGATTGGTCTCTTTGAATATCTATTAAAGAACAAATGTTCATTTCAGAAAATGTTGCAAAGATTTTCCTCGCTTTTTATTTCACTCAATAAGACAGGTCTTACTTCCGAAATGTAGGATGATTTAAATATTCCCTTACAACCTTCAGAAGTTTTGTTTGAAGCAGAACAAGTCTTATCATACTTACAGAGTTTTGACTGACTGTACCTCTTCTATGAACATTTAGTGCCCAAAACGTTCACAAGGCCCTTACTGTAACCTTCATAATCTCTGCTAAACGTTTTTGTTTCATGACATTAAATATTTGAAAAACTAGAGCATTTAAATTTCCTGTGAAAATGCTGTGTGAATGGCTGAATAGCTACAAAGTTTAAACTAGCCTAAAAATAGCTGAAAATGCAGCTGAAATTGCTAAAACTAACAAAAAGAAACAGAGCATGTTTGTGCATTAAGAGAAAGCTGAAATTATATACAAAATATGAACTTAGCTTAAATTAGCTAAAAATGTGGAAAACAGCTGAATTTAGTAGAAGGCTGATTTTAAGAATACAAAGCTTGAAATAGCATAAATAAGCACAAGAAGGTTAGAATTAGCAGAATTGCAGAAAGGGTCCAAACGATAGCAAAAATAAAAACAGAAAAAAAAACATAAACAAAAGCAAATAAAAAGAAACTGAAACAGTAAAAAGGAGTTAAAAAAAGAACTAGAACAAAAAGTAGCAAAATACAGTAAAGATTTGTGAATGTTTGTATCGGTTTTAGGATTTTGAAAACTGCTCTATTCATATTCAGTGAGAAAAACATAGCAGAAAAGTATAAATATCTCAAAAAGTCGCTGCCGAAGTACCAAAAGTCATAGCTTGAATGTCCTGAAGGAGCTGAACTCTTTGATATATTGTTGAAATGCGTAAAAATTACGGAGCGAGATGCATGCCAAAAAACCTACAGAAGAAAAAAAATGTTTCTCAATAGTGTGAATGCTTTATGAGCAATTACACAATTAGTTATGTAACAAGAGAAAAACATGTGCCTGTTTTGATGGAAATATACAAGTTTAAAATTTAGAATCAATTTTAAAATGTAGAATCAATGGGCCTCATGCAAGAACCGTTCGTACGCACAGATTTGTTCTTAAGTTCTGCGTACGAGTGATTTAGGAGAATTTGTGGCATTCACCAATGTTTTCGTATTCTAAGATTTTTTTCAGAAACGAACAAAATTCACGTGTGGTCCAGACCTGTCGTATATTTTACCAGCAGTCAGTCTGCTGTTATCCTGACGGGTTTTCCTCCCTAATAACTTTATATTTC